TTTGGTTTGTTCTCCTGATTTGGTTTTTGAATCAACATTTGTCCAAGCAAAACCAACATCTCACCAAATTTTGGGTATCCCGCGTAATTTTCTGTCATCTGAAAAAATGATTCAACAGTACCAATATTTCTTGCCACGCAGAAGTCTAATGTTCAGCATTGGTTCATCCAAACAAGATCAACCCCCCATACATACTGTAGAGAGAAAACTGATGAGTCCTCAAACATGTTGGTAAATTACAAAAAATAAATAAAAATGTTCCCCATAACGTTACAAAATATTTAATGTTTTGTAAAAGGTAAGATTAGAACATAGTAACATGCTAAGATAATCTGCTAATTAATTATATCTAAAATTGTCAAGACACATAAAAAAAAACAAAAAAAAACAGGGCAATCTCAACATATGTCGTGTTAATATATCTTTTCCAGGACATATTCAGGAATTGAGGGAATTATAACATATTCCACATTTGAAATACTTTTAGATAAGGGAAAAAATTTATTTGTAATTTTAAAATAAAGGTTTTATTTACTCCTGTGGTTAAATCATTTAAAAACATATTGAGTGAGCATCTGACAAACAGCGCTTCAATAGGTAATTTATATACTAAGCTAAATTCATTACTTAAAATAGAATTAATGTTTTGATGTAATGGTTTATGTACAAAAGTGATAGGCATGTATGTGAAATGATAAGAACAGGAGATTAAAGGACCACTATAGTCAATATATAAAAGCAATAAAGGCAGGTCCCCTAGCCTTCTTTCTTGCTTTTATATTAATTTCCCCTTAATATTTTTGAGTCCTTATTATAGCTAAAACTTACCTCCGTTCCAGTGCCGAGCTCCTCGGCAGGCCACGCCCCTGTTTTCAAAATGACAAAATAGCAGGGCTCAGACGCTTTTCTTGTATAAGCATCATAGCGATCTGGTGTGCATGTGCAGCTTCGCGCTGCACCAATTGCGTTATTTATAGAGCGGCATTACATGCCGCCCTATGAATTAACACTGAGTGCTCTACCGAGCATATGCGCGTTCACGAGCTGAGCAACGGCTCAGCTCGCTGTCTATGCCCGTCCCGCTTCTTCTGCAACCCTCCAGCCCAAAGTATATAGTATACAAACACTATATATAGAGAAGTCTCTATATATAGTGTTTGTATAAAAACACACACTTTTTGAATAAATATTGTTAAACATACACACACTCTATGTATCTCTATCTATATATCTCTATCTTATCTATGGCATCTATCTATTCCTTTCTATTTATGTCTATCTATCTGTAACAGTCACCTGGGGACTTATGTAACAGTTTAACCAGGAGTTGGAGCCCAGTTGCAGGAGATGGCACAGGGAGAAGGCAAACCAGAAGCGCAGTACAGATTAAGGGGAAATTCAAAGGCAGGGTCAGACGAGAAGCAGAAGTCAGGGCTGGCAGCGGAGTAACAAAGTCTGCTAAGCAGGGAGAGGTCAGAGTCCAGGAAATCAGTCAGTAGTGAAGCAGAGATCCGTCAGAAAACACCAAACAGACCAAAAAAAAAATAAAAAAAAATGACCAGATCATAGGTTTCAGGCAGGGCTGGCTTTTACAGCCTGCTAATTAGATGCAGCTGACCATAATTGGAAAAGGGCTGCAGGTGGATCAGTGCTGCTTAATCCAGGCAAGGGGGTCAGGAAGCAGAAAAGTATGAACAGAAGTTAAAGCCCCCTGGTGGACATCATGGCAGAGAACCTGACTGGGATGCTGGAGCTGTGAGTTCAAACACAGCCATGTCTCCCAAAGGGGGCAGTCACACCTTGCTGTCTGCAGGGCTTGGGCTGTGCTATGACACTATCTATTTCACTCTCACACTTTCTATCAATTACACTCAGTCTCACTCACACACCCTCTCTCATTCATTTTTAAAATAAGTGTACTTACTTTTTAAAGTCAGTAGATCTCTGCATCCTCCTGCTTGGTCTCCTGCCTTTAGCCTGTCAGCCCGAGCCAACGCTGTGTGCAGGAGATCCTTATCTCCCAAACTGTCGACTTTGATTGCTGACAGGCTACGGGTTACTACAGGACACAGGATGCACGTTCACAGTGCCTCCTGCGTCCTGATAGCATGTTTGATGCCATCAGTCAAGAGTGAAGATGTCAAATGTGAATTAGGCAGCACATAACTCGGAGTCCCTCTGAGTGACTGCCACTGAAGGTGTTCCTAGCTTCCAAGGTAAACACTGTGTTATCTCAGAAAATACAGTGTTTACATGTAAAAGGCTGCAGGAAGCTATGTTCTCACCTGAACAACCCCATTAAACTGAAGTTGTTCAGGTGACTATAGTGTACCTTTAAAAACAAACGTAACCTTTTCAGTTCAAAGGCAGTTTAACATATTCCATTTATTGGTAGGATTCACAAAAGGGTTAACTGTAGTCATTATTAAAATCCAAGTGTGTTGGCTCTTTTTAAAACCAAAGGAAATACCAGAGTGCTGTCTTGATGGTTAAGCTAATATTCCCCAATTACAACGTGGTATCAGTTTTACATTTTTGGAAATAAGTAAATCTCTCCATTTCCTGACTGTAATAGTTTATATTTTACTCTCAGCATTCTTGAATGTACATACTTCTGGAATACGAGCCTTGAGAAAATAAAGGATTTAGCTGGCGGTCAATATGAAATAGCAAAACTACAAAAAACAAACTATGACTGAATCACTTTTTTTTTAATGTACTTGCATGATTTTAAGCTTGTGAGAAAGAGTTAAGACAAAAGTGGTATATAAAGATCACAAGTTAAACATTCAAATATTTCCAATTGGATTGTCTAATGCATCCCATATTAAGTGTTAACTAGTGATTGTGTAGTGCGTAAGCACCCAAACTCAGTCCTGGGGACAACTATCCTGGAACAGTAGAAGTTTTCTTTAAACATATACAGATGTCTCTCAGCGGCTTAAGTGATACAATGAATGGAGGTCATATGACACAACCCAAATTACCACTTGGTGGATTTCTCAACGATTTGTAAATATGGATTGAAGTGTTAGCCAGGAGATAGTTGAGAGAGAGAGAGAGTGAGTGTGTGTGTGTTTAATATCAAGAAGTGGTCATCATTTATATATAATTAGCTGGTACCATCTTCTCATTTCACCATATGAGTAAGGATTATAGATCATGTATACCGTGTGGGAGTCCCTGTGTTCTTTTCCCATCTCCTAGGCTGTGAGATGCTGAACGTTTGTAAAACAATGGAAACTATGATTAAAAATGCAGTATTAAAGTAGAAAAGTGATCTTGCAAGAACAGAAGTGCAATGTTTTTGTTATATGTTTGCATACTGTAATTAGGGCCAGGCTGGTAAAACAAAAATTGGCCCAAGCATTTTTTAATCAGAGTAGGAGGGTGTGGGACCAGAGAGGAGATGTGCTGTAACATCACCAATGGAAAGCTCCCCACCCTTAAAGTGAGCATGTTAGTTTAATGACCTTCCAGGCCAGCCCATGAGCAGAGCCCTGCTGAAGAGCACTCATATGGGAAAAATGCACGGTGCTTGTTCTGCTCAGTGCAAGAGGTTCATTGTGATTTGTCTTTATTGATTCCATAAGTGGGATACCAGATGACAAAATTTCCAGAAAAGAGTATTAAGCATGCATTTGGAAGCTACTTGTGATATTGCATGCGTGTGAAGTGAGTTGTTTGTGGTGTTTTGTGTAAATATGTTTGTTTCAGTTGTGTAGTGTTTCTGGTGTAGTAGGCTGTACTGTGCATGTCTAAGGGCTGTTTAGAGCAGGAATGTGTGTGTGTGTGTGTGTATATGTGTTGCACTGTGTGTATAGGGGGCATAATGTGTGTATGGAGTGCAGTGAGGGTGTGCATAGGGTCTGCAGTTCATGTACAGAGACTTAGTGAATGTGTTTATATAGGATATATAGTGTGTGTGTGTAGGGTCAAGAGAGAGTAGAGGCAATGTAGTGTGTGTGTTTGTGTACAGGATCTAATGTGTGTTTACATAGTTACAAAGCTGAAAAGAGACATGTGTCCATCAAGTTCAGTCTTCCTCATATCTGTTTTTGCGGTTAATCCAAAATAAGTCAAAACCCCCAGTTGTTAAGCACTTCCAATTTCCATGGTTATCTAGTGTTTGTGGTTGGGGATCCAGAGTGTGTGTGTGTGTGTAGGTGATGTAGTGTGTGAGACTGTGGTGCAGTGTGTCTATAGGTGATGTAGTGTGTGTGCAAGTGTGTGTGTGGGCCTGTATTGTGAGAGGGGAGCTGATCTTTAACATTTTGATGTATTGATGCATTACTGTGGTAAGCAGTGGCAATGTCCTGCACAGCCTGAGCGTATGGAGGGAACATACATTGTCTGCACGCACAGAAAGTGCAGAGACTAGAGCCTACTGGATCCTCCTCTCTCCTGCTGAAAGGTGCACTAGTGTTGTGCCTAATCATTAAATTCATGAAGCACCAATATCCCAAAAAAGTAATAATCAATACCTAATAAGGTTTAAAGCGAAATTGACGGGCACACAACCCAGTTCAGTTGTCTTCAACAATAGGAAAAAAAAAATTACACAGAGACCAAGTTGAATATAATAATTCACGTCACACTTGGTTGTCACTCTGCTGCTCATGCCTGGGGGAACTCAGGCAGTCAGACTTGGAAGGACCCTCTCTACTGGGAACAGCAAAGACCGGCAACACACGTCCGTATTACAGGTGGGTAGTTCTCCAAGTGAGTGTCGAGTTTCTCCATCTTTTATAACTTTTTACCAATGAGATGTATAGTCTATACTTTTCCAAGTGCAGCCCAGCATGCATATGTTATACGCATTGAGTCATCTTTATGGTTGATTAGGCCAGTCATGATCCCCCAAGACACATGTCAAACACGTGCGGTAATTCATCTCTAAAGCTATATCCTTATACTCAGTCTTTCTAGACATTGCTGGCATCAAGTCTTAAGTTAACTTCAAGCACGGGAGCGGAGCCTGACTGCCAAGCCGAGCAGACATGTTCAGCTTGAGCTCCTGCATGAAAACAAAGAAAACAGCAATTTTGAGCCTAAATGCTGGGCTCAAAAGCAAAGACTTGTCAGAATTTACACACAGGGGGCTCCGGGCACACGACACTATACTTACCCTGAATCCACCATCGATGACAGCCCGGAACCTCGAAGGCGACCTGCTGGGGCCTGGACGAGGGAGAGGCGGACGATCTCCCGGAGCTCGGGCCCTGCTCGCGGATCCGCTAACGGTGGGGGTCATCCCGGTCCACCAACTAGACACAGAAGGGGACACAAGCACGGAGAACTGGAGAGCAGGGGTACTGTGTGGCACGGACCTCGTGGCAAGACCAAGATGGCCGCCACGCGGGAAGCCCGGCATAGTAGCCCACACACTCAATGGAGGGCCCTATATGAAGCCAGGTTTGAAGCCATCTGCCGTAAATTCTGGCAACGCATCAACCGAAGAGCAGCCACGACAACCTGCCTACCTACCAAACAGGGGACCCACTCTGAGAAGCATCTGGGTTCAAGACTCCCACCCGGAGGGAACTCTGGAGGGGGGAGAAATCTAGGCCCCACACCTAGATTGAGGTGAAAGTGAGGCGGAATCAGAGGGGGACGCACTCAGGCACACCATACGGAACCGCAACTATCCCGCTTTCTACAAGCCATCCTAGGCCGAGGGCCAACCGGAGAATGTTTCCAAGGCACCAGCCACACAGCCCGAGGCCCGACCGCCGCTGGCGGCGGCAGAACAACCGGGCACACCAGGGCACCCGAAAAAGGGAAGACCCGGCCTCGGGTAGCTCCTGAGTCTGCGGGCTGCAGGTGCTGGCCCTTTTTACGGCCTGGGGCATGAAGGCGGCCCTCCAACATCCGCATCTCACCATCCCCCGGGGGACACCCCAAACACACGATATCCCCACACCCCGCTTGGGCATTGGCTGATCGAGGACTCAAGGCTCGGGGGTACCTACACATAGACGCTTCCAGCTGTGGTCCTCACTGCTCATCGGGAACCCCACTCAGACTGTACACACTGCCAGTCACAAGCCCAGCATATACTGGCTGTACCCTGTTGGACTAGGGGCCTCCATAAGTTACTTAATAGCCCATTATTGTCTACTGCTATGTAGGTCTCTCATAATGTAAAATAAGCCTGATGTTAGTAGAATGCAATTACATAGCTATTGTGTCCACTAAATCTAAACTGTGTCATCTGTGCCGTAGTAACTGACCTCAGCTCAGCCTTACTATATCATATAACTTGATAAGCCTATATCTCAGCCTGTTAACAGAATGTCTAAAGGGATAGATCCCTAGGTCCAAGCGAGCGGACAAGACTAGGTAGAGCCATAACTATTGTAGCAAGAGAACCCATAGCACTGTACCTAGCGAAAAAACAACCACATGGTGAGACATGCCAATCTAGAAAAGCTTTTATCTCAGCTAGACATGGGCTCCTGCCCTACCTCCGGTGCTCACTAACAACAATTACCTATAGCATACCTTTTATTGTGATAAGCATGTACAAATAACTATGCCATACGTACTAAGTGTAACAGTTCAGCATGTTCAAGTTTTACTAACCCATAAAAACGAGGCACCGTTATCTAGAAAATGTTATTTACAGCTGTGATTTCTGTAACATGTACCTAAAATTGCACATTTCCCTTCTCTCTTTTTCTGTATCCCAACTCAATTGCCTCAATAAAAGAAAGATTGACAAAAAAAAAAACTTCAAGCACGTAGGACACCTTGGATATTGTCCAAACATGTAATAGAACATTCTATGCTGTGTCATCTTGTTTTTCTTAGTGCGACAAGACCAGTTCCATCTTAACTATCTATACTAGTTTAATTTGCTCAATAGTGATCAATCAATCATTCTTACTAAATATGGAATATTATTATCACAACTAGGATCTCAATAGGGCATGAAGGCACACCGCAAGATTTACACCTGAATAGCCATTGCAGCACTCCAGGCATTTTCCTGGGTTGTCCGATGACCAGTCCAGGCCTGACTGTAATCACTTTGACTTACATTTAAATATTGTTTATACCTGTTTGAGGCAAGTTAATGGATATTATGAACTTGTATTTATATGGTTTTAACAGTTTTTGATATATGGTAAAGAGACCAATACTCTTTTTTTTAAAGTGATATGGCTAGAGATAAGATGATAAAATATTTGGGGAATCATTAACCTCTGATTCATAATGACAGATTTGAAGATCCCTGACCAAGACTCTAGCCCAGATATCCTAATTGCAATACTGTGTTTACGAAGAAGTTTGAATGGAAGAATTGTGCATTAGACATTCTTTAATCCTTTCTATTCTTCTTGTTTTTAGGAAATTAAGTTTTGAGAGTATTTGATAAAAAGAAAACTAATGAGAATAATAATCATTACTGAGAACACACGTATAACTGTTACTGGATCTTATTTAAAAATTCATAACAATCTTACATTTCAATAAGATGGATTTAACTTTTTCATTGTAATCATGAGCTCTTTATTATCAGCTTCCTGGATTTAAAAAAAAAAAATCTGTCAATCAGTGAAGTGACTAATGTATTCAAGTATGTAAGCAATAAAATAGGATTCTGTTTTTAAAATAAAAAATAAAAAATAAAATAAAACATTTTGACTCAAGAAGGAGTCACTCTATAATTTTAAATAACACAACAAAATGCATATATATGGCATGCAGTGGTAAAAACAAAATAATGAAAAATAAAGTACCAAAATATAATTATAAACATGTAATAGCAGGGGATGTTACAGATGCATAGAATGAATGGCAACATGACTCCCAAAAAGTTGACAAACACTACCCTGGCAAAATAATGAGGTATATACTAAAGGAGAATATTTTCTTCGTGCTGAGAATCCACTCAAATCCATGTGTTACCCTACAGAGATTATATACTAAAGAGAGATATACTTGACACCTTTCAGCAGGAGGATATAATCGAAGAGAAAATACCTGTTACATTGATAGATGTTTTCAGATTCTATTACCCAATCTCTCCCATTGAGAAAAAGGTCATAAATTGGTCTTGTTATGACAAAAATCAAAACCTGTAGTTTTGATATTCTTACATGCAGATTGTTTTCATATAATTTTCCATGGTTGAAAAAAATAGAATTTCTATATATTTTTTCTCTTTTTTCTGATATATAACACTATAATACTTAATAATAATAGTGTATTTAAAGTAGCACATTCCTCACATGGATTGAAGTGGAAAGAACCTAATCGTTTAATTTAATAATGTAGTTGTTATTTCACTAACACTTTGAATTGCAAGAAAATAATAGAAGGATTGCTGAAAAAAATTGCAAATTCATAACCCTTGTGTCAATTTGTTTTGCAACAATTACCAGTTAAGACAATTAAATTTTAATTGATAACTGGTAATTAAATTTGTTACCCAACTCTATAGCACTTACTTTCCTGATTCCTTTACTAGGGTTGATACGTTTGCATTAACAACATAAAGCAACTCATCTATATCACTTTATATTGAAATACCTTTAAAATGTGGAGTTGTGTATATTGCCTTTTCAATGTAAATACAAGCATAATTGTAAAATTGTAAAAGCGAGCATACTGGCTAGTTTGTATAAAGCTAATATGCTGTATTTTGATACATTAAAATTCTCCCACATGACAGTATGCTGATATAATTGTGGTAGTAGACTAAAATAAAAATTTGATGATGTACTGAATGAGGGTCCAGGGAAGGTAGGGGAACACTGAGATGCAATTTGACAGAACGTGTGTCATTCAAATGAGGCTGTTTACTGTTATTAATTGGTTCTATAAAACATAATTATTTGTACTATCTTGTTTGTAGTCAAACCATAACAGTTTCAATGTTCTAACAATGAACAGAGCTTCTATAGTATTTTCTAATTATATTTTTGCAATGGAACCCCTTACTTTTATCTGTATTTTATTGTTGTATTTTCATTGTCTTGCTGATAACATCATATACCTTTATTTTTGAATGAGTAATACAAAATGTAAACCATAAAGTTGATCTGTTAACAGCATTATATGAATGTATTGTCAATTTTATTGAATTATAGTGTGAACCATGTAGATTACATAGGGAGAAAAGAAAAGGTGGAATTCTAGTTGTGGCGAAACCAACCTCGCCACTGTACACTGGAGAAGCCTGGTTGCTTGCCTGCTCCCTTTAGACTATGGTCCTGCATTTTAAACTTTTATTTTACTGTCAGAAAGGTTTATTCGTGCCTTTCTGCGGACTGTTAAAGCCATGCTACCCCAGATAGCTATGCCATGGAGCCCAGCCGTATACTGAAAGACTGTATGAAAGACTTTGGCTCCATGGCGATTGAACTGTATCTATGTGATCTGAGCGCCATTCGGTAGTAATGTGCACTCAGATCTAAGCTATCTGGGGATATGTAGAATGTCTATGTTTTATGGAATAAATGTAACTGTATGTAATTTTATGTCTTTTATTGTATTGTTACTGCCATGTGGTTAATGGAGTCTTGCCTCTGTCCTGGGAGATAATTGGATTAATTCACAGTTATCTCCTGGACAGAGAGGAGGGATTGTGATGTAAATGTGGGTGTGTTTTATGGTTCTGCTGTAAACGATTGGTTGTACTGTGTCCCACCCTGTGGGATGTCCCCTTGCATGGGGACTTGCATAAAAGCCAGTGTGTGGCCATTACAGAGAGTTCCTGTTTAACCCTCAAACGAAGTGTCGTCTCGTTATTGGGGGAATTGGATTGTATGCTGACTGCCAGGAGTGTAAACCTTTCGTATGGTTTTTCCTGTTCAGCTGTTTCCAGTATTCGGGAGTTTCCTGTTCGGGAGTTGGAGAATTCGTGTAGTTTGCAGTTCGGGAGATTGGTGATTGCAGTAGCTGTCTGTGCATCTGAAAGTGGAATATCGCCTAAACGGTTTTTAACCTCTTGTGGGCAAAATGGTCAGTTACATTAGTGCTTAAGGTTCACTAGTAGAGTGGAGGAAGGTAGCTCAAACAACCCTATTCGGAGTCTCTCCTTTCCTTTTGAATGTATACACAAGATGGGAGTAGCACCTTTGAGTTTCCTCAAATATAATCAATATGCAACCAGAGGAAGGAGCAATGGATAAGTATATAGTGTATTATGCACAATATAAATAAAGTATAGAAGAAAAGATACACTTAGAGTGGATAGAGCTATCAGTTAGCTCTACTTCGGTCCACTTGTGTGGTATGATCATCGCCTGAGGATATATGGTGTGTCTCTTGATCCAGGTAAGTTTAATCCAGGTATGTAAAATAAACAGAATATACACCAAAATAGTGTAGTATGTTTAGTAGCACATAAGTGGAGGCAGTTTACACCATAAGTCACTTGACTCTGGCTCCGGCGCCATCTTGGTGGAGTCTGACTTGTCTGTGTAATTTTTCAGCTTATTTTACCCTTCCCTCACCTTGTTTTCATTAATCATTGAACTTATTCACTCCTCCTCATCCTCCTTATGCTCTACATGTGTTTTATTTGCATTTCTATATCAGTCCATAACTTGCATCC